TTCTCCCAAGTCAAAACGTTTTTCTAAGGAGACAGAAAGAACAAATCAATCAAAATCTGCCTCAAAACCCCGTTTCCTGTCTAGTTTTTTTTTATCTTCGCCTCTCATGACGGCCGTTTACCAGGAGCATTCGGCAGAAAACACGACGGTGACATTTTTATTGAAGGACGCAAGATGATTCACATGACGCTGGGCGGGGAAGACGGAAGAAATCCCTCCGATGAATAACTCGGGGAGATGAATGCGATGATTCAGACGATACCGGTCTACGAGGAGGAAGAGGAATAGCCTGCGTGTGAGAGAGAGAGAGAGAGAGAGAGAGAAAATCGATAGTAAAAGAGTAAAGCTGGGGCTATCGACCACTAGCCAAGCCACGCTATGAGATACACGATACGCCGGGTATGGCTGTGTGGTCGCAGCGTTCCAGCAACACATGATAATTGATGCAGTTCAAGGGTCGGATGCATGGGGCTAGTATTGATTATTTATAAACACCTTCCCCCAACCCTTCTCTTCCCTAAAGCCCGTTTAGTAAATGAACTAAATATTGCATCCATCTGTTTTTATTACTAAGATTGATCGTATAAATTAATCATGGCGGACACGATACGATTCTGGCGTGTTGTCACTGACGTGGGATATCTGTAGGTAAATAATCCATCGGCCATCCCCCACCGTGGCTGGCCTATTCACGGGGACGGGCGATCTGGAAGGTTAGCGACGTGAAAACTAGACGTGTGCCAAACGGTCCATGCAATTACACACACACCCACGGAGGAATGTGATCAACAATTAGACGACATTACGTAATGCGACTGGAGTCTGGATTGTGATCAGGGGGAGAGACACAGCCAGGCGTATGATACTGGATTAGGTTATCATGTTCCAGAATGTAGCTAGCGGCGTAGTTACCAAACTCCCCCGCTTTTAAACAGATTCTCTATTATGCTACCACACCATACAAATCCCCCATTCACATACATATGAATTTATAAAAGGGGTGGGGCTTGATCTGCCGCTGTTAAATTATAAAGAAATGCGGCCGGTCTGAACCTCACTTCACCCCTTCCCCCTAGCTATCATGTACAATCAACTTTGTGTATGCATGTCTGATTGCAAAGCTATAAAACGAGTTCTTCAATGCTTGACGCATGAAAGCACATAGCTTCGACGTGGGAACGGTGCGCGAACACGTAAAGTAGAGCTAGAACAATCCTGGGACAAGTATGTGTCAGTGGGCAATAGATTAGGCAGAATCAAACACGACAGCTTGCTAAAATACAGCAATAAAACCTGTGACTGGCCAGTAAATAAGGAAATAAATCTTGAGATTTTAAACGCTTGTTGATACTATGTTTGCGGCACAATTGTCCGATAGCTATCAGACAACACAAAGCCAAGTGATCACTAGAACTTAATATGAAAATAGAATCTGATTTTGCAGTGTATATTCCTTGGCAGGTATTTCCACGAAAACCACTTGCAAGCTTATACAACAACAGCAATTAATTATTTTTAACAATGCTGTAAGAACTCAATATTTGGACTACCAACGCATGTTGAATAGTTCTCACTTAAAAGAATAGGTTTCTCCCTTTCTTAAGACGGCTTCCACGATCCACACCCGACACCTGTTACTAAATCTATCTTCAACATAAAGGTCGCAGCATGCCATCAATCGATCCAGCGTCCAAATGACCAACTGATTACATAAATATCTTAAGTATCAGCCACCGATTTTGTCCTGATGACATACAGATTCCTTACAAATACCTGTACAACCAGACAACGAACCAGCGTCCAAATGACCAACTGATTACATAAATATCTTAAGTATCAGCCACCCATTTTGTCCTGATGACATACAGATTCCTTACAAATACCTGTACAACCAGACAACGAACCAGCGTCCAAATGACCAACTGATTACATAAATATCTTAAGTATCCGACACCGATTTTGTCCTGATGACATACAGATTCCTTACAAATACCTGTACAACCAAACAACGAACTAGCGTCCAAATGACCAACTGATTACATAAATATCTTAAGTATCCGACCCCAATTTTGTCCTGATGACATACAGATTCCTAATACCTGCACAACCAGACAACGAACCAGCGTCTAAATGACATATTGATTCCCAGTATGTACCCATCCCCACCCCCCAGTATTTTCCGTCCGGCCTACTGCTAATACCATTTGATCCCTACAATCAGCATGGATATCCGGCCCTCCGCTGAGAGCCTGTTGGACCAGAAGCCCGAATAGGCTGGTAGAAACCATACCAAACACACAGGGTAGGGTTTCACGTGCATGGGACTTGTGCTCACCAAGGTATCATGTAGGGTTGCTATAGTTCCCACAGGACTATGACCGAGTTTTGAGTAGTAATTTTTTGTGTGTGTGTTTCAGAATCAACAAGCCATGTTAAGTACAAGGAAATAGGTAAAAAGTTATTAAGATAAAACCAATGTTTCATACTGGAACTAATACTTAAGCTGTCTAATTATAATTATCATTATTCTCAAAATGCCTCATAAATTGGTGAGGGTTTGTAGAGCTACAAGACCACAGTAATGGATAACCCCATGAACATCTTTTCAAAATAATGCTACGCAAACATAGGTACAGATTTTACCTGCAGTATTCTAACCACACATCGTGCATCCGTGCAATTGGTCATCAATAATTTAAACCAATGCCGGAAGCCTCAAGGCCGTCCAATGTAGGTCAGGCTGACCTATCGGTCTACAAATATAAAAAGTAAACCAAAACTTCTCTTCATCCGTGGGCTAATAGATGAGCCTTTCAAATATCAACACGCTCAGTGACCTCATACCTCCACACACGAGGGTCAAGCGAGCCCAAATTCAAGGTTTTCTGACTCAAAAAAAAAAAAAAAACGCAAAAAAAAAAACTTTAAAGGGTCCCACAGCGAAACGAGACCCCAAATTCAAGGTTTTCTGACAAAAAAACGCGACTCCACATACAAGGGTCCCCCAAGCAAAAAGAGACACCACATTCGATGGTCCCATGAGCCAACAACCCAAAATTCCATAAGCCAAACGAGACCCAACTAGTCTAGATTCGTGCAGGGAGGAGGAAAGTTTCCCCTATACACGCCAATCAGGCGGAGACAGTAAACGAGACAATGATAGTTCTGTGACTTGAGACACGCAAACACAGATGGCTAGACGTTCTACCCATGGCGCCATAACAGCTCAACGCTTCTATCGTGTTTCACTCATGAAGGTAGACAGAAAAAATCATTCATATTGTAAAGGAAACGGGATAAACTGCGACGATAGTTCTGGGATGACAATAGCTAAATTGAAACATCAACAACGGAAATTTAAAAATGAAAGTAATTTTTAATAAAATACTTAAAAAAAACTTTTTAAAAAACCACGTTTTTCTTGTGGACTAAAAAGTAGAAAATAACTATTTACATACATTTGATGACAAAAAACGTGGGTACGTTCACCATCAAATTTCCCGACCCATCTGCCCGACCCACGTTTTTTGTCATCAAATGTATGTAAATAGTTATTTTCTACTTTTTAGTCCACAAGAAAAACGTGGTTTTTTAAAAAGTTTTTTTTAAGTATTTTATTTTCTCCTTTTTAGTCCGTTGCTACACATGAAAAACGTGGTTTTTAAAAAAGTTTTCTATATAGTTTATTTTCTACTTTATCTAATGACTTGATTAAGTATGAATTGACTAAGTGTTTATAAATACACGGACTAAAAAAATCTTGAGCGACCAGGATTCGAACCTGGGTTGTCGCGGCCACAACGCGAAGTACTAACCACTATACGATCACGGCCAGCGCGCTCACATCGATTGGGGCCGAAGTAACTGTGTCAATAAGCGTCCAGTCTTGTCGGTATCTTTAGAAATCATGTCCTCAATTTTATGGTCCTTGGGGCGTAATTAAATTAAGCTAATTACGGTCTCTAATTGCTAGTTTTTATGATTGCATCTGAAAATGTTAGGCGAAAGTAACCTGCATGCCAAATTTCAGATCTATAGAGCAATCAGAAGTGGGCTAATTTTCGATGTCAATTTTAACAACAAACACACAAACGCGAAGCTGAGTTAATAAAAACGTGTTAAAAAGGGATGTAAAGTTACCATTTTGGTGTGAAGGTCAACAGAGCAGAGGAAGCAAGCAGTGTTTCTTCCAGACTTTTTTCTCCGGGGGGGGGGGGGGGGGGGGCACTAGAAATTTTCAGGGGGTGGGGAGGGCGGTAGACTTTTTTGGGTGGGGGGGGGGGGAAAGAGATGCCTGAAAGAAACTCTGGAAGCAAAGTTCACCTTTCTATACCTATAGGAATGGACAGCATGTCCGTCGCATTAATTTTCTTTAACTTTAGCTACGGTGCCCATTATAGTTGGCTAGACTCGCGAACGACAAACGGACTCAGTCTAGAAACTTTAGAGATCACAGTCTCTATCTTCCATCACGTTGTCCTATACAGTACCGTAATCATAGATTATATTTCGTCTTTAAAATCAAGAGTTACAATCGAAGGATAAAGAGAAACCCACTGAGAACAATGATACTTATGTATACTACACAAATGAGCAAGTAGGGTTGTTTTGCTCCATTTTATATTTTTAGAAGCATGTTGTTTTAATCATTGTTGACGTAAGAATACATATTTTTCAATATTCATTTTAAAAATAGCTTTAAACAGTTGGATTGGCTGCGTTCTACACACAATTGCCCAAACCATTACAAATGCAATCGCCTAATACATTTTCAACATTGATCACATAGTTTACGTTACTTATGTTACCTTCTATCTTTAGGGGATGAAGAAACCGTATACACAATGAAAAGAACATCAAAGGTAATAAAAGACAAATAATATTTAAGTCGAGATTAAGAACGTTGTTACATTTTTTAAAGTGGCACCCCCCCCCCCCCCACACACACACACAAACTACCCCGTAGTTTGGAACGATGAGAAGGTGCTGGTGCGACTTACCTTGGCAAGGTGTCAGACGGTGGGTGTGGTTTACAAGGCAGGCGGCGGCTGTTGTTGATGCGATCAAGGTGGATGTTAAACACACGGGAAGGAAAGCTGCTGCCGTGCTTGGTTCCACTAGGGGTGTCCTCCTTCAGGGGTCGGCACCAGAGAGGTATCCCATGTCATTTCTTCTACCCTTGGAACCTGGTTCTCTGAGGAGAAACACAAGTACCGTCTGAGCTATGTTAAGTTAGAATAAGCGAATCAAGGGGCCATCTCTCTCTCTTTATATATATATATATACTAGCCGTCCCGGCCAAGCCCTGCTCTGGCTTCTGTGAAAAACCTTTCTGTTAAAGACCATTACCTGTGTGTTTAGTAATCATCATAAACCCGGCATTGCCCACCCAAACCACAACCAACCAAAACCAAAACAACAAAACGCAAACATAACGCTAACACAATTACAAATACAAACGAAAACAAAAACTTAACAACAAACACAACCACACCCACAAACACCAATACAAACACATAGAAAAAACAAACAAAAAAGCAAACGAAAACAAAAACCTAACAACAAACCCAACCACAAAAGCCAATACCAACAAAAAAAAAAACAACGAAAAAGCAAACGAAAACAAACCAAATCCACACGCAAAACCAACCAAAAACACAAATACAAACCCAAAGAAAAAAACACAAACAAAAACGAAAAAAGAAAGAACAAAAACGAACCAAATCAAAACGCAACCACTAACGCAAACCTACCTAAACACAAAGAAAACACTAACGCGAACATAAACGCCCGGCGCGGAATCACCTGTTTTAGCTTAATGAACGACTATAGTACCCCAACTTATTCATAGTCTTTTGCACTCACTTAAACGAACGCGCCTGTTTCAATTTGATGAACAATTATAATACTCCAAGCTTATCCGTAAAATACCTACAACATTTGCACTTGATCAATCCCCGCTAATTATGTAATTATTTTTTTCCCAACACCAAAACAAAGTAATTAAAAACTAAATGCTTTTCAACTAATGCAATGGTTTTATAAAGGGAAGTAATTGTGTTTGCCTAATTTATCAAAGGGAAGTAAGCGCTATAGGACTAAAGAAAGACATAATTAGAATTTTTGTAAAAGATGATATTTTTTTTAAAACTTGTGTTTAATGAACATGCCGACAATTATTACTATAATTTGAAAAATGAAAATGATTTCCCAACACTTTTAATAGTAATTTTTTAACTCATAAATTTAGACAAATGCGCACGATAATTGATCTAACACTTAAATCCGTAGAAATGCCAACGACAAACATATGCGTTATATATATACATATATACATATATACATATATACATATATACATATATATATATACAAATATATATATACACATATACATATATATATATACACATATACATATATATATATACACATATACATATATATATATACACATATACATATATATATATACACATATACATATATATATATACACATATACATATATATATATATACACATATACATATATTTATATATATACACATATACATATATATATATATACATATACATATACACATATACATATACACATACACATATACACATACACATATACATATACATATACATATACATATATATATATACATATACATATATATATATACATATACATATATATATATACATATACATATATATATATATATATATATATATATATATATATATATATATATATATATATATATATATATATATATATATATATATATATATATATATATATATATATATATATATATATATATATATATATATATATATATATATATATATATATATATATATATATATATATATAAGCGAATATATTTATTTATTTATAAATATTTATAAATATTTATAACATATAGGCGAACAACGCAGCTGGCAATTTTTGCACATTTCTTAAACTTGCAGCAGGTGGCCCTGTGGCGCAACGGTAGCGCGTCTGACTCCAGATCAGAAGGTTCAAATCACGTCGGGGTCAGCGTTATTTTTGCATAGAAAGTCTCGACTATATTTTGGCTGATTTGGTCGCCTCTACTACTGGCTAGACTTTACAAAACTTTTTTTTAATGGCTTCTCACAAATCTGTACAATGGGAAATTTGCTCATTCGTTTGACTTAAATTTAGAAACATGTAGCCCTAATTTTAGACCCACTTCACATATATATTTATAATATATAATATATAAATACATATATATATTTATAATATATAATATATAATATATAAATACATATAAATATTTATAATATATAAATACGTATATATATCTATACTATAAGCGGGCTGTGTCTGTCCTTCCGTCCGTCATCGCTATAGATTTGGGACTATTAAGGTAAACTGCGCACCATGCTGTGCTTTTCAGTGCACCGCAGTGTCTTATTATAAGTAAAAGAGTTGGGTTTGCTTATATAATGACATAGAGCTATTTTATAATTTTCACTGTTTGTACAATTTTGCATAACGTAAAGAGAATATTAAATACACGCACATTGCTAAAACATATTAAAAAGATCAATGTCAAATATCGTTTTCGTTAATATTCCTAGAAAAAGTGGATACATTTTAATAACATAATAACTGTAGGTTAGAAAAATCTAATTAAACTGTTTAGTAATTTTGCCAAGGGAGGTATTTTAAAAATAAATTGAACTCACGCTAAAAATGTGAATGCAAAATCTGCAAGACGGAATAATTGTTGGAATAATATAATTAGCAAAATGTGAATGCAAATTATGCAGACGTGTAAGAGTACATTATTGTTGGAATATTATAATTAGCATTGATTGATAAAAGGCTATCTTTTATTTATTTTATTCACTGAATGTAGTGTTTACTACTTGTACTTTTTTATCAACTATTAAGCACTATTATAGACGCGTCATCACGTTCATTTGGTACGCAATGGTTTTAGTTATGAAACTCTATTGTAATTTTTTAAAATTTAAAGTACTGGGAAAAAAATGCGTGAATTGATAAAGTGATATAATATGGTAGGTAAAACACGGATATTTTAAATACTGCTGGGGGTTTTATAGGAGAGGCGTAGAGAGGGGGGGGGACAAATGTCCCCGGTTGCCGACCTAAGGGGGCGCCAAAGTGGGTTGGAAAAAATTTGCGGGGGGGGGGGGGTGCGGGGGGTGGTGGAAATCGAAAGTTTGAGGGCGGTGGGAGGGTGCAGATCGAAAGTTTGAGGGGGGTGCGAATCAACAGATTGAGCGGGGGGAATTTCAAATCAAAAGTGGTGCAAATCAAAAGTTAAGGGGGAGGGAGTGCAAATCGTAAGTTTTTCCCCGGGCGCCGGCAAGAGTCGCTACGCCTCTGTTTTATAATCATTAACTGTGTCAGACGCGTCCGCCGGCGCTCGGAAAGGGCGCGATTTGGCGCTACGGGCTAGACTGTGAGCAATATGCCTTTATGATTGCATTTAAATTGTGTTTATGTTATGAGTGTTGTGTTCGTTTTTTCGTTTGTGTTTTTGCGTTCGTTTGTGTTGTGTTTAGTTTTGTTCTGTTCCCAAGTTGGTACATTTAAAAAAGATTTACCGTGGCGGAGCACGGGATGCAGCTAGTATATATATATATATATATATATATATATATATATAGCCATAATGATGGTAGACTGGGGTATCGTAGTCCCTATATCAGAAGCCTTTTTGTCGGCGAGTATAGATTCTCTAGATTACGCAACAGGAGGTTGGTGCTTGTGTAAGTAAATCTCTTGGTCATGAAACATTCAGAAGCTAGTCCAAGCTAATCAGCAATAATGGCTTTAATTAATGATGAGTTTACGTCATGAGACTTTGTTTTGCAGGCCTTAAGGACTAGACTAGTCACTACTCGCTGTAAGTTTTCTAGCAGTAAAGATGGTGTTACAGTTAAGAGAAAGCTGCTTTGTATAACAACAACAAAAATCGCCGCTATTATATTAAAAAACTATGCCACACGTAATTAGTGCTATAAGAATAACAAAAATATATCTGGTTAGTTTATTTGCTTTGAAAGTATTTGACAAAACTCAATTTCTGGGGTAAGATAATGCCCGAAATAAATTTAAAAAAAAGAACCCTTCGAGAACCGGGTTACACAGTAAACAACAGTAGAAATAAATGTTCGCTCCTAACATGATTAGATTTTTCAGCGTTATCATTTAAAGAAGTCGCAACACTCAGCTGATTAGTAGTTACACATTCAACCTTTACTGCAGCTATTAGATGATTACTTCTAACGACGCAACTAATATTCTGTAAGTGCCCGTTTAAAAAAAAACACCCACTACATTTTTTTTTATAACTCGTGCCCTCTATGACGACAGTGAACCATAATTTCATGACGACAGTGAACCATAATTTCATGACGACAGTGAACCATAATTTCATGACGATAGTGAACCATAATTTCATGACGACAGTGAACCATAATTTCTACCTCGGCAACAAGTGACATTTGACAACTGTATATCGCAATCATGCTGAAACGACCACGGCTGATAAGTTCACTCGGTAAAAATGTCTTTTCATTTTCACCGGGGCTAGAATGTGACACGAGTGACATGTCACTAAAGGGGAATCTATTTTTGACATCGGAAATGTCACTTCTAAACACTCTACAGTTTCTACTAAACCGGGTTAGCTTTTGATGTACTCTATCGTGTACGCTCACCGCTTTAAAAATAAAGTCCATAAAAATGATAAAAATGTGAAATGCCAGATCTACATCCACTGTATAGTGTTAATAATTACTTATCCCAAGCCTTTGTTGTACCTAATATGTCCATACGTTTAGTTGTATGTATCAACTAAAACAAAGTCACAAACCTCTATAAAAAACAAAAAAGGTAAATAACTGATAGCACACTGAACAGTCACCAGGTGAATTCAGAATTACACAGCTAACATTCTATCAATATTGATCCTACTTCAACACGATGTGAACTCGATCTGGAATCGATAGCAGCCAGTTTGAGCTCACTTTCAATTTCCACTAAGCTATAAAAAGTCAGCGGTTCTAAAACAAACAAAAAAGATACTTAAGAGCGTTAAAAGACGAAAACATTCCACAAGAAGCTTTTTTTATACTTATCTAGAGAGGTATTAAAAACAATAAAAGATCTCGATATAATAAAGTTCG